ATGTTTGGAAGGTCACTGCCTGTATAAGGACATAAGGAAATGACCAAAACACAAAGATCTGCAGAAACTTTCAAGTAAAAAATGATGTAATTTTCCTGGCCACCCCTGTGTGAGTAGTGGTCCCCGTCTGGCCACCCCTGTGTGAGTAGTGGTCCCCGTCTGGCCACCCCTGTGTGAGTAGTGGTCCCCGTCTGGCCACCCCTGAGAAAAATGTCTGACTCTGCCACTGAGTACAGATAACCAAAATTTCTATTTAAGTACAGTAACAAAGTATTTGTAGTTACTTTACAACTCTGATGATTAACAGACTCGTGGACGTTAAATTGGCTGCGACGCACATGGCATGAATGCCACTCTGTGCCAGATGTTCAGCAAGTGATTTACTGGCTTCATTAGAGATGTTCAGAGAGGCTCTCTCTGCCTGTGCCCCCCCTCCCCTCCCTTCCTGCCCCCACCCAGTTTCCAGAGCATGCACACCATTCAAACYAGCGCCACGCCAGACCGCAGTAAAGTCGTCTCTTCTAGAGAGAGTGACGGCAGCTAACGCCGCCTCAGGGCCGCGCGAGAAGCCTGCTCCCACTTACAACTAAAGGCAGCGAGATCATTAACAGATCCCAGCATGGGGGGGTGGGGGGGCAGGAACCAGACTGAGCCTCTTGTGAGAGAGCAGAAACCTTATTTTGATTTCRTTCTCAAATTATTAAGCACGCTTTGAAGGAAATTCCCTTTAGGGCACTTCTGTCAAACTCCAGGCCAGCGGGCCAAATCTGGCCCTCGTTAATATTTTGTCTGGCCCCTATAATACTTATAGAGTTTTATACAAGAAAACCCCACAAAGTTGTGTTCCACAGTTTGCAGAATCAGTGTTTTGTGGATTTTTCTCATATAACCTGTAGTTTACAGTAAGTGATGTTGTTTTGTGGAAACCAGAAACACAATACAGGAACACTGCAGGACACAAGGAGGTGAGGGTCTAATTAGTTTGTTTGTTCTGGTTGTTTTTAAAGCTGATTGGATCCACAGAACAGTCTGAACATTAATATGTTGCATTATTTTCATGTAACCATCCCAGTGTTGGGGAGCCTGGTCTGTCCCCTTTTTGGATAAAAATAAATACAAACAGGGGAAAAAACTATTTTGGCATAAAGACAAGTGTGTTTTGTGCAAAACATCTTAAACATAACTGTTAACAAGATAAACTGCATTTCCTGCAAAAAATGCTCGTGTGAACGCTTCATGCTGAAAACTTCAGCTGAACGCTGCTGAAACTGAGCTGAAAATATTTAACAGGAAAAGTGTTAATTTGAGCTCACGCTGAAAAGCTGAAAGGAGCAAAAAAGTCTGACTTTGCAGAAAAACATGAGCACAAATCTAGTTGAAAACAGAAAACAGCTAAAAGCTAAGAGCTAAAATGGCTGAATATAGCTGAAAACACCTGCAAGAAGCATAAATAGCACAAGGTAGCAGAAAAAAAAACAGAAAAAGAAAAAAGCAGAAAAGCAGAAAGAAGCAAATCTATAGCTAAAGGAGCATAAAATGGCTAAAATTAGCATTAAATAAGCTAAAGGTGGCAGCCACAATTTGAAATTAGCATCCAGTTGAAATAGTTATAGTTGAAAAAAGCTAAAACAGAAAAAAAAATCAGAAAAAAAAATCATAAAATTACATGAAAGTGAAACAGCTAAAAAGTAGCTGGAAACTTTTTAATTAGCATAAGGAGCATAAGTTTGCTGAAAAAAGTTGTAACACCTACAAAAATGTGTATTTAGCTTAGAAAGGCTACCTTTAGCTAACAGCAGCTAAACATTTGCTAAAATTTCAGCAAAWRGCTAAATATAGCAGAAAGCATCTGTAAGAAGCATAAAWAGCACAAAGTAGCAGAAAAAAACACAAAAAAGTAGAAAAAGCAGAAGAACAGCAGAAAGAAGTAGAACTTTAGCTGAAATAGCAGAAAAAAAGCTAAAATTAGCGAATAAAGTTGCAAAAGTAGCAGAAGAAAGTGAAAAGAGCAGAGCCAGAACAGAATGTGTAAGGTGTTGTAAAGATTTAGAAACATTTTAAATGAGTTTAAAAGTGTTGAAAACAGCTCCATTCATTTTCAGGGGCAAAAAAAGTGACTAAAAAAGTGAAATAGCTAAAGAAGTATAAAAAGCTGAAGTAACAAAAGCCATAGCACCGCTCACATAAATGAGCTGAACATTTTGATAAATGAATTGTTGAAATGGCACAAAGTGGAACAAGTTAGATGCAGAAACACGTACGGAGGAAAAACTGATCTGAAGCGTTGACACAATTAAAGCTGTTAGTTGCAGTGAAAATTGCTGCATAAACATAAAATACGCAGCCATGCCACCCTGAACATGTCAGACCTGGTCTGAGCAGGAGTGGGCTGGTTGGCACTTGGATGGGAGACCTGGGAAAACCAGGTGGTGTAAAATCAGGAGTTATACTCACATTGACACATTAATCCTGTGATTATAACAGGTCATAGGCTGTCTTCTACAAAGGACAACTAAAATAATAATGTGTGAGAAAAGACTCAAATGTCATTCGTTCCAACAGCAAAATGTCCCAGATTTTCATCATGTTTATTTACTCAAAATGGTGATAAAATAAATACAAAAGTTGGACACGTACACTCTTTCTTTATAAGGCACAACTTATCAAAACAAAACAAACACAAAAGATATTTACAATCAACTAATGAAAGAATTGAGGGCTAAAATATGAACAAAAAATCGACAGGAACTGGTAAGTCCTAGAGAGCTGAAATTCAGGACGTAGGTAGATCTCYCCAAATCAAGTCTCTTGGAGGTGTGTCCTAAAACCAACAGGAAGTCGGCCATTTTSGGTCAAAYAGAATRCTTCCTTTTGTGWTTTTTGCTCGCACTGTGATAAATCATTATATCATCAATTAAAACCCACAGCTTCTTTGAAGAATAAAATACAAATAAAAACACACAGCAATAATTTTTAAAACAGTCTAGTGAGCAGTTCATGATTACACGATTTTAAGTGTGATTTAAAGGGATCCCTGATTAGTTGTAACATTAGACTTTATT